ATGGATCAACCGAAGAAGCGCAGGCTTCCAACCATATCCAACGCATAAACAACAAAACAAACTAGTGCAAAATTCCAGCAAAATCATCTCCGAAAATCCAACAGAATCAACAGCAATCCAACAAACAAACTTTCAAATCACAAAGCCATCAACGGACCCAACCATGGCCCAACATGCAAAGCAATTTTTCCGGAGTCACAAAGAACATTTTTGTAGCAGCGAATCAAGGCAACAGTCATCCGAAAATCCTACAAAAAAATGCCAACCTTTAAGCCAACAAAAATGGAGTTGAATCAACGTGGATCCAACCCACAAATCAAACTCAAGAAAATCATATAAATAGTTCATCAGCGAAAGATCAAGGATTCTAAGAAAAACCCTCATCATCATCGAAAAGCAGCTGCAACTCCAATTCAAAAGATCCAAGAGGGATCTTCCTAGTCATCATCGCCCAGGAGAAGAGGTTCAGAGAATCCCTCAGGATTCTTCATCATCACCTCCAATCAAAAAGAAAAATTCTGATCGAAAAACCCAAAAGCAAAACGGCTACGACGGCGGCTCAGAAGGGAGCCAACATCACCATCAGACGGTTCAGAAGAAGCTAGGAGCTTCGCCATCATCACCGTTGAACACAAGCCAAAGAAGAAGAAGAGGATCTTATTTCAAAAAACCGGACGAAACAACCACCGAATCCTTCTCAAATCACCATCATCACCATGGTGTAAGCAAGAGAAAAGCTCAAATTGCTTCAAACTCATCAAGAGTGAGCAATCTGATTTTCCTTTTTTCCATTGGTTTGTTTCATGTTTTTCTTTCAGTGAAATGAGAAAAAGAGCAACATGCATCAAGACAAGAAGAAGATAGAAGCTCCGAAACGGCCTCCCATGGAAGATGAAACCGCCGACAGCGGAATGAAGAAGAAGATGGAAATGACTTCTCAAAATGAAAACCCTAAAGGGTTAAATGAACGGAAGATATCATCCCTCCTTTAGTTGTCGTTTTGTCTGTCTTTTTTTTTTTTTTATTGTTTTGTTTACTTTTTATGTAATAAATCTGAAACTCTAAAACCAAGAAAAAGCTTAAAATTTCAACATTTTAAAACTTGTTTTTTTAGCATCTAAAATTTAAGTTCATTTTTTTAAAGATTAAAATCATTCTTAGCATTAAAAGTTAAATTCATTTTTTAGCATCTAAAACTAAAATTCATTTTTTTTCCAGCATTTAGAATTCATCTTTAGCATTTAAAATCAGAATTTTTTTTAGCATTTAAAATAAAAAATCCATTTTTTTAAGTATTTAAGGAAAATCACCGTGTAGCCTTAAAACATTTGTTACCATAAAATTAAAACAAATTTGCTTCGTCTAAAACCTTAAACTTAAAACATTTTTTAATTAAATTAAAATTAAAACAGGTTTTTCATAAAGAATTTTAACTTTTCTTTTAAATCAAAAATTCGAAAACAAATTTCTTGATTTAGCCGTTTCAGTTACTGTCTAACCCCCGTTAGTTAGTTTGTTTCAGCTTATTAATGTTTCATTTGTTCGTACTATCTTTGTTTCAAATTGTAATTAATGTGAGGCCATGGTCGCAGTTATATTTTATTTTTGCATTTTTTGGGGATTTGTAATTTACACGAGTGATCGTCGCGACACATTTTTATTATTTACCGTTTTCATTATTTCCAGCAATTGCAATAACTGCCATATAATATTTTGTCTTTTTGCATAACTTTTACCGTTAATCACCTTCCGAAGAATTAGGTCTAAACCGTTTGACCGCCGAGTCAATAGCTCTAACCCTTGACCGTTTCAAAACCCTAATAACCTAGGTGTCCCGCCGTGGACGAAAACGCCTTTTACCCTAGCATTAGGTCAAAGAGTCGCCGTACTCTGTTTTAGGGTTTCCCGTCGTGGAACATTAAGTTAACCCTAATTCTCTAATTCAACAATTTTCAACGTAGAAATAGGAGTCTCAAGACTCCACCTAAGTGTTTCCTTAAGAAATGCTTACTCCCCATAAAACCTTGACCACAGTCAAGAAGTTTCTAACCACCCTTTCGAGAGGAACTACGATTACTCTGATTTCATTCCATATCTAGGATACGTAGGTACAAGATGCGAATCTTGCCGAGTAAACTTAGGACTAACCCTTAGGTCTTTTCAGTCACTCTTAACCCTTAACTCGATATATATTTCAAGCAGATAATAAAATAAATAGCAAAAAATAAACAAAAGGTTCCTGTAGAGTACTACAAAATTTTAGGGTGCTAGTACCTTCCCTAAGCTTAACCAACCCCTTACCTAAGTTTCTCCCCACATTGTGTTTATGATGCAAAAATAGATTTTCCCTCTTTTGACCTTTTCCTTCGGATAAATCAAAGAGCGGTTGTGAATTAAGAATTGTGATTCAAACTAATTAATACTTTGATATCCTATTTCCACCGCAACAATACCGAATATGTTAGGCTGTTAATGGAGGTGTATGAGACTTTCTCTAAATCTACTAGGCTGAGAATTAACCCTGATAAGTGCAAAGTGTTTTTTGGCAATGTGGCTGATAATGACAGGTCTGGCATTATTGAGGCTACCAAGTTTGTTGAGGGCCAATTATCCTTTAAATATCTTGGCATCCCCTTAACTAGTAGAAAGCTGAACATCACCCATTATCTCCCCTTGATTGATAAAATCCTGGCCAGAGTGAAGCATTGGAGCTCTAGGTTATTATCTTTAGCTGGCAAAGCTCATTTGATTAATAATGTCATCTTTTCCTTGACCAATTACTGGATGCAATGTTTGCCTTTGCCTAAAAAAGTTATTCACATAATTGATGCTGCCTGCAGATCCTTTCTTTGGTCAGGTACTGAGAAAATTAGCAGGAAGTCCCCTATAGCCTGGAAGAAAGTTTGTACAGCTACGAAGCAGGGAGGCTTGAACCTGGTTGCTATTAGTAATTGGAATTCAACTTGCCTTGCCAAGATGCTGTAGAATATTGCCTTGAAAACTGATAACTTGTGGATAAGATGAATCCATATTTATTACATCAAAGCCCAGGATGTTACGACAATGGAAATCAAGGGTAGCACATCCTGGATTTTTAAAACCATAATGAATCTCAGATCAACTGTTGGAACCCTGAATGTTTGGAATGATTTTATGCAGGAAACCAAATTTAGCACAAGAAAGTTTTATGCTGTTTAAAATGATAAGCATCAAGTGATGGGTTGGAGAAAGGTGTTATACAACAATCCTGCTAGACTAAGGGTCCTTTTTACCTTATGGATGACATGCACAAAAGACTTGCTACAAAAGACAGGATGAATAGAACATGTATCAAAGTTGATAAGGTTTGTTGTTTCTGTAAAGAGAAAGAGAACTTGGAGCACTTGTTTTTCCAATGTAACATGATAAAAAAGATATGGAGCAAGGTGATGCAATGGATTCAGATCAAACATAATCCTAAAAATTGGGATAATGAGCTCAAGTGGGTCATAGAGAAATGCAAGTTAAAGGGTCCTAAATTCAAAATTCTCAAGTGTGCCTTGGTAGAATCTCTACATGAGTTATGGAGGTTTAGGAATGATGCTTGTTTTGGGACAGGCAGCAATGAGAGTACTGTTAAGGCTCGAATTATCGAAGCAATTACACACAAATGCTTGTTGAAGTGTAAACTCAGAAAGACCATTGGAATTTTCATCATAGACTCTTAGGATGCTTCCTTTTTATAACCTTTGTCTTGTTTTGTCCTTTTGTGGTGCTGAATCTCGTTTGTGAGATCACTTGTTTTGCAATCGTTTTTAGTTAATAAAGAATTTTATTTTTTTAAAAAAAGTTACCATTCACAAATTCTATTCATATATTCACAGTTCACAAATACTATTCACAAATATTATTTATGTATTATTCATGCACTGTTCAGACATTATTTATAAAAAATATATATATAATTTGATGTAAAAAAATGTGGGTGGTAAAAATATTAGCAAACCTAGTCTATAGTTGTCCTTCCTAAATCCAGGCTCAATAATAATCATTGAAATTGTTGTATTAAAATATTTAAAATTAGGTTTTCAAAAATATTTAAAAGTAGAATTCAACAAACCTAGTCAAAGTTTAACTTATGAAATTTAAACCGCTGTTTTCTCCGGTTCAACAACCGGCATAAAATCCTTTTTCTAAAATAAAAAAATTAAAACCGGTCTAGTTATCCTACTCGTTAAAAAAACAAAAGAGGTGACGTCAGCTGTTAGTTGATCCGGCAAGTGACGTAATCAGCATACATAGCATTTACAGTGACGTGTCAAGTGCGATGGACTTATCTACTTTGGTCGAGAAAACGTACGGCTGAGATCATCCATTCAGATCCAAACACGTTTCAGATGCAGATAACGCAACAAAGCTATTTAACCAAGGGTGTACCGTAAACCGTAATGCAGACAATAATTCCTCCATAAGTCGCCAGAGTAGACCACAACAAACAAATAACAGTACAAACTACAAACTGTACTCAAAGACTTTCTAACTCAAGCAAAGTCCATTACACATAATCGCTTCTCTCTCTCTCTCAGGTAACTAAGTAACGCCGTTAAATCCCCGTCACTTTCCCGCTTTCTGTTTTTTCTTTACTCTTTTTCGTCCTTTTTCTTCAAATTTTCACTTCCACCAAATTATCATCTCTCTCACTTTTGTTTTATCTCCAATTTCTTGCTACAGATTGTTTTTTCGAGTTTTCGTGATTCTATAATTGTAAGATTTTTGTCTAATTTCTGCTTAATTTGTATCTTATCGTGTTGTTCTAGATCTGTTATCAGTTTTTCTTTTTAATTACTGTATCTGCTAGGGTTTATTTGTTTGTTTGTTTGTCTGTTTGTTTTATTATTTATTGATTATTTTTTTTAAGCCTGCAGTAGGTGATAATGGTGACTTTTTTGATTATTATATATATGGTTTTGGAATATGATTGTGAAAATTGGTTTTCTAGGTTTTGCTGTTGGAGAGTGTATATGCAGAAACCAACTAAAGACGGAGTTAATATGGGGAAAAGGACTCTGGAAGGTGGAGAAGATGACCAGCCTGAACGAAAGAGGCCTGCTCTTGCTAGGTAATTCTAGCTTTTTGTTCAATTATTACTATGATTATGTGAATTTGCTTTGTTAGTCAACCTTTTTAGTTTTGTGATTGTTACTTGTTAACTTAATTTGGTTATTTTAGTTTCAATTCTATTCAGAGTTGTCAATAACGGTCAATAGGGTGCTATCCCGCTGTAGTGGAGTAGAGCGGAGGCCGACTGCTATGGGAAGAGCCTTAGCGGTGCAAAACACAACACTTTAGCAGCCACAATAGGGTAAATAGCAGGATAGCGGAGCAGAGCAGTTCCTGGCCCGGAGCTGTTTCCAGCCCGCTATCCTTTTCCCTCTAAAAACCGAAATTACTCCTCAAGTTTACAATGTTTTAAGGGTAATTTTGAGTTTTTCAATCAAATTTGTGTTGAGACTCGACCTTAACCTTTCTTCATAGTCGTTTATGCACTTCAAGTTTCATCTGTGCATTGATTTATGAATATTTTATGAGTTGAGTTATTTGTTTAATTTTGCATTACATATATGTTTATAATTATTGTATGTATTTGTCCAAAAAATGATCAAATAGAGCGGTCATCCCGCTATACGCAATCCTGCTATCCCACTTTTGGGGTCAGCCGCTCCACGCCGCTATCCGGGAATGACTTTGATTCTATTACTATTTTACACTAGTTGGTATTCTGAGAAAATTATGTTTTGGGAGCGGTGCTATCTTTAATGAAGTCCGCAACCAGTTGCTTCTACTAATTCCCAGTTGGAAGCAGATGAAAGGAATGTCATTGTTGCTACTAAACAATCTGTTGACTTACTGATATGGTTTTTGTAATGTTGGTTATACCTATATTCCAAATCTTTACTGCTAATTTATTTTACTAATCAGCTGGATTAACGTGGCTATTTTCTAAGTTGATATCATGGTCAAACCTTTTGTTGTCCATTGTCATTGTTAATAATACTTGCTATTGGTGTTGGAGAAACCCCTCTTTATCTTTTATGTTGAAGATCATGTGAAATTTTCTTCTTAGTGGTTATAGTTCCATTTTGATTATCGTTGTATTATGCACTTAGAAAGATTCATTCTGATATTTCCAAATTTATCGAAAAGATTGTAATATCTATTAGAATGATTTAGCACGGTCCACTAAGGAATTCCTATAGTTGCTTTAGAAAGATTCATTCTGATATTTCCAAATTTATCGAAAAGATTGTAATATCTATTAGAATGATTTAGCACGGTCCACTAAGGAATTCCTCTAGTTGCTTTTTTTGATTTTTTTTTCTTAGTTTACTGTGGCTAATGCAATGTTTTGCAGTGTAATCGTTGAAGCTCTCAAGGTGGACAGTTTGCAGAAGCTTTGCTCATCTTTAGAACCTATTCTTCGTAGAGTTGTAAGACAGTTGTCTTCACCCTGACTTCTGCTATTTATTTTCTTTTTTGACATTTTTTGGTTTGTGGACAGTTGTCTTCATCCTGTACATGCTAAGAAGTTATTTGCTCTGTCACTCCTAAAAGCTATTTTGCCACATCATATCTATTCTTAAATGCCATGTCTTATTGTTGTCTTATGTGCAATTTGATGGTCTTACCCACTTCTTATTTTTATGAAGTCCAATTGTTTAATAAGTGAATTAAAGTCACAATAATTTTGCTTGTCAAATTAGACCTATTGTTCACAGCTTGACAATCTACTGCATATGCATTTTGCTTTCAAGGCTTCTTCTAGATCTCTTTTTTCTCTTTCAATCTTGGTGTGACATCATTTGTTAGATGATATGTGGGGAAACATGCATTTGATATGATTCATAGAAGAAATAACCTTTTAACATGATTTGTTTTGTTAAACTCATAAATTTCTGCATTTGATGCTCAAAATCAAAATTCGAATAATACTGATTGAAACAGGTTAGTGAAGAAGTGGAGCGTGCTTTGGCGAAGTTAGGTCCTGCAAGGCTTAATGGAACTGGAAGGTCTAAGAAATTTATTACTTACAAGTTGGAAACCAATTTCAGAGTATTTGTAGTTTTCACGACTTCCCTTAAATTACGATTGTGTTATCTCCATCCATTTTTATTGTATTTTCCATAGACTAAGCAAGGTTACCGTTGGTTTTTTAATTGTAACTGTGTTAACTACAAAGGGACTTTATGCCTTTGAGTTTTGAGGCATTTTTTCTGATTCTGTTAGATTTAGATTCATGGGGTAATTCAGCTCTTAAAGCTAGCTCAAGAGGGAGGATTGCACAAGCCTCATAAGGATGAGTTGGACCATATTTATGGTTGTGGGATCCAAACAATTTATTGTATGTGGTTAGGATTGAGTGGATAAAAACACGGTATTTGATAGAACATCATGGCGTGATTTTATCCATGTAGTCGACGCCGCTTAGTAGGATAAGGCTTGTTTGTTGTTTGTTGTTGTTGTTGGTAAGGATAGAGTGGAAAAGAGAAGAGAATATGAAATTAGAGAGTTATGTGTCCTGTAAAAGAGGAAACCACCAAGTAAATTATCAAATCATTTCTATCTCAATGAATGAGAGAATCTATTGCTACCAAGGATGAAGTCTACACCATATTCTTTCTCTTTTGGTTCACTTCCATAAGAACCTGCTATTTTCTTTTACTAAAAAACTGTTCAAAAAAAACTAAACAAGGAAATTATATTTTAAACAGAAATTGTTTTATTTCTGTTGCATAAGTGAAATTATATGCTAACTAACAGATAGTTAGTTGACTCAATTAGTTGGAGTTCAATTGCATTCATTTCTCTAATACTGCTTCCCTAATTTCCCTATGCAAGCATTGAACTTTTAATGAGCTGATGTAGATTCTGCATATAGGCATTAATTTGCAAACATTTTACATGTATAATTTTGAAAGCATGAACATTATATTTGAAGAAAATATCCAATAGAGTTTTTAGAATGCAACTTCATAAATGATGTAAAACAAATCTCTTAAAATCAGGAAACAGTATCCTTTCTCCAATTTGGAGCTACCTGCCTAGCTCAAAGTGTACAGTAGGTCATTGACTATTCATTTTAGAAGAAACTAGTGGTAAAGAAGTGGCGTCAACATCCTATCGGCAATATGTAACTATCACCACTTCAATTGATGCCACCACCAATTGATCAGTCCTATTTAATTTAAATTAATATTTAATACATTGGTAAGTCTGGTATTTTCTTCTAACAGGTTAACATTCCAGGTCTTCGCCTAAAAGGATTGAAGGTCCTGATGGTAGAAACTTGCGGCTTCAGTTCAGGTCCCGACTAGCTCTACCTTTATTCACAGGAGGAAAAGTGGAAGGGGAGCAGGGGGCTCCAATTCATGTTGTTCTGGTCGATGCCAATAGTGGTAATGTCATAACGTCTGGACCTGAATCCTGTATAAAGCTTGATGTTGTTGTCCTTGAAGGCGATTTTAACAATGAAGATGATGAAAATTGGACCCAAGAAGAATTTGAAAGCCATGTGGTGAAAGAACGGGAAGGAAAGAGACCTTTGTTGACTGGAGACCTGCAAGTGACACTGAAGGAAGGAGTTGGAACATTGGGGGAACTGACATTTACAGACAATTCAAGCTGGATAAGGAGCCGTAAATTCAGGCTTGGCATGAAGGTTGCAGCAGGTTTTGGCGACTCTATACGCATTCGCGAAGCCAAGACAGTGGCTTTCACTGTTAAAGATCATAGAGGAGAATGTAGGGTTATATTTTTAGTTTTTCTCTAGCTTTAATGCTTTCTCTGCTTGTAAACTTTGACACTGTCTCTTAAAATTTTATACATTGTCCTTTTTACAGTATACAAGAAGCATTATCCTCCTTCATTTAATGATGACGTATGGAGATTGGAGAAAATAGGCAAGGATGGGTCATTTCACAAAAAGTTGAATAATGCAGGAATATTCACAGTTGAAGACTTTCTTCGACTTGTGGTTAAGGATCAACAGAAATTGCGGAATGTAAGTTTAGATATTGCACCTTTATCTAGAATTTAGGTCCGTCCACCGGTTGTCTTATATCATTTAAATGTAGATCCTTGGGAGTGGTATGTCAAACAAGATGTGGGAAGCTCTCTTAGAGCATGCAAAGACATGTGTTCTAAGTGGGAAGCTTTATGTTTATTATCCAGAGGATACAAGAAATGTTGGTGTTATTTTTAACCACGTCTATGAGCTGCGTGGCCTTATAACAGGAGAACAATTCTACTCTGCTGATTCGCTCAGTGATAATCAGAAGGTTAGTCTGCACCCTGCATTTTTTCCATCGATAGGAATGGATATTTCAGTTACGTTGTTTGATGACTCTCTGATTGATACTTTCTTTCTCCAAAATTGAAGCATTTCTTTATTGTACATGGCATGCTCCAATTAATATAATTGATATGGAAATGTTAGATGTATGTTTCTTTTTCTTTCTCACACTTGCATGAATACCGATATTCATCCCAATTCACAACCAAAAAGCGCATGCTATCTTGTTTGATGACTCTCTTATTGATACTGTTTTTCTCTAAAAGTCGAGCATGCATTTATATTCCTGGCATGCTCCAAATAATATAATTGATATGGAAACGTTAGCTGTATGTATTTTTTTACCCAAATTTGCATGAGCACCATTTTTAGTTTTTTTATAAGCAAGCACCGGTATTGAGCACAACCAAAAAGTGTGTGCTATATTTTTTTGGAACTCCTTGAAAATACAGTACTGTGACAATTAAGGCTTACCAAGGCTCAAAGTTTGCAGTTTCCTTTGAAGCTTTTTCTTAGGAATAGGGTATGCTTGTGATGCCTTTATTTTATTTTTTGCAAGTCCAGGTTTACGTGGATTCATTGGTGAAAAAGGCATACGACAATTGGGAGCAGGTTGTAGAGTACGATGGTAAATCACTTATAGATGCTGAGCATAACAACAATTCTGTTGAACCTGAAAATGAACTTCATGTTGAGTCAATTGATTTCGATGGCGGTTTAGACCATCAACTGCAAATGCCATCCCTCCCCATGTCAGTTACTTCTGAACACCAGATTAATTCAGGGATGCCAGTTGGTGGTAAGCGTTTCTGTTTCCTTAAATCCCAGTTTGATGGATCTTCTTCTCTTTTTTGTTCATCCCTTCCCTTTTCCTTTTCTATTGAGTGGAGTTGTCACATTGTCTGTCAGCCTGTGTCTCAAATTTGATATCCCAATTGAGCTTTCTGATTTCATGCAACTTTGATGATTGTGTATGATGTTCTTACTATGAAATGTGTGAAAATACATTTTCTTTTCAGGTTATATCAATAATATGGTGACAAGGTATCCAAGCCAGGCATTGATTGGAAATTCCAGCTCTCGGAGTCAGTTCGAAGGCTCATTATATCTGTCTAATGATCAATTAATAACCAATGATCACCAACCCCTAAGCTCTAGAAATGATCATAGCACAGTTGGGTTGGCTCTCGGTCCTCCTCAATCTTCGACATCAGGTTTCCATGCTGGTAGCTCTTCTATTCAACCATCTGCCCCAAATCCTTTTGATGATTGGTCACACAACAGGGACAAGGGCGTTGATGACTTCTTTTCAGAGGATGAAATCCGCGTTAGAAGTAATGAGATACTAGAGAATGAAGACATGCAGCACTTGCTCCGCCTTTTCAGCATGGGTGGTCATGCTTCCATGAATCCCGAGGATGGTTATTCATTCCCATCTTTCATGCCATCTCCTATGCCGAGCTTTGATGAGGACCGCTCTCGTCCTGGCAGAGCTGTTGTGGGATGGCTGAAGATCAAGGCAGCAATGAGGTGGGGCTTCTTTATCAGAAAGATAGCTGCTGAGAAGCGGGCTCAGATAGAGGAGTTAGACGAGTAGGTTGTTTGGACAAATGATAGTAGGCTTAATCGACAGCCTTAAGATTTTTCTGATGTTCTGCAATTTAGTTGTCTTCTTCAGCAACATTCAAATTGTGCAGTCCATGGTATCATCATATTCTTGATTCATGCCCACGTATCTGATTTTGAAAGATATCTGATGAACTTCCTGTACAGTATGTTCAAGCTTAGGAAAAACCGCGATTGTCATCTGTTTTTGACTTTCTTGTTAATACTCTTATCATTTATGCTGGATTTAGGGATCATATATTTGCCAAACACCTGTTAGATTTGGGATGATAACTCAGGTCTCTTATAATGTATATTAATTGTGAGTTTTGAAATTTTCCAGATATGTTATTATCTCATTATCACTGTGGATTACACCACTACATGGGTCCTGGATTCTGGTTGATAAGATATTTGAACAAAAGTGTTGGTACTTTAGTGGATTCTGGACGCCAAACATTCTTAAAATGTGTCACGTTAGTTATCACCAGTCACCACAACCTCTAGATATAATGAAATTAAAAGTGACAAAAAATGTGATAAGGAAATAATCTGTTTCTTATATTAAAAAGATTTTAGGCATTTGATGAATGGCTACAAATGTTGCTGTAGTGATGACAGAGATTGTAACTAAATTATGCATCTGCATCCCAGGGAGGATGGTTGTTGCGTTGCATTTTCAGAGTATTCTTTCAAGGTGTCTTTAGGGTAATTGCAGATATTTTGTTGGGTCTGTTTTAGTTCTGCAAAGCTTGTTAGGAGTTTTCCTTTTCCTTTTAGTTGCTGTACTTTGCTTTGATGATGTTGGCATTGTACAGTTTGTGTGGTTTCTATTGGATAGTGGCATGTCTTATGCATATGAATCAATATATTGCATTTTCTGCTGATTTAGAAAAAAAAAGACGCATTTCAATGCCATCATGTTTTAACTTTGAGAGATTTTTATATTCACAATTTCTTTCTTTCTCATCTCATTGTAACAAATGTCGGTTTTATTGTGACATTTTAATTAAAATCAGAATCAATTCTCCCTAATTATCTAATTTTAACTTAACAATTTCTGCATTGACTCATAAGAATATGATCACATAACGTAAAAACTCATTTATTGATAAATACTTTTTCTAACATCAACGTATACAATTTCAAACTGACAAACTCTTGATAGCTGAGTTGACGACATCACTAGCTGATGAAATCATGGTGCACAATATCTATCACAATTGAAAGTGAACATATTCAGCATCCATTTCACAAATTTGGAACCACTATATTATATCATTACTTTAATATATTTTTTCATTTATTTATATTTTATATATTATAAATTATAATATATATAAAATATTATAGTAGGTAAACATTGATTAATTAATAAATACCAATACCTTAACTCAAATTTAAATCTCATAATTATACAATTTTTTTAATATTATTATCATTTGGTCTACAGGCTAACAAATATATTTTATTAATAATATATATTTTAAAATAATACAGTGTTTTATAAATAAAAATAATATATTATACTTTGAATTTAATTTAATTGATATATATATATATATATATATATATATATATATATATATATATATATATATATATATATATATATATATATATATATATATATATATATATATATATATATATATATATATATATATATATTATTAAACAATATAAAAAATAACATATATTCAATTACATCTCACAAATATAAATATTTATAAAATTATTTTACAAGTAATATAAGAAAGTGATAATTCTTTTCTTTCTTTTTCCACGATGCCTTTTCCAATTCACACGGTTTCTTCCATTTCTGATTTGTATTATATCTCTATTTTATCGATATACCCTAAACAAAATACTAAAATCATTATTTGTCTCTCTTCGCTGAAAATATTATACCTTCTTCAATCTTTTCACAAACCTTCATTTCTCCTCCGACGACCATTTCTTCATTTTTACAATCACCTAACTTCACCAATTATGACTAGACAATTTGAGATGATCAAGTACATCAACAGCAGGAAAGAACTCTAGAAGATCGCCATCAAAGTTCATCGCATTTAGCACCAGAGAGCATTTTGAGATAATATTCATTAATAAAGAAGTAACTTTCGTTATAAAGGAAGTCAATTTTCTTTGTGTATTTTCATCTTTGTTTTATTTTTTCATTTTTTTGTAAAGCTGCAATAACAATATTTTACCATTTTTATACTGAATCAGAGAACTAATATACATATCATAGTTCCAAACATGCTTAAACACCCTTTGATTAGGCATTAACAACCTTTGATTAGGCATTAAAAGTTAAATGTTTTAGAACAAGATTCGTTTTTGACATATTCTTTTTTAGTTTTGATGATAACAAAAATATTAAAAGAACAATAGTTTATTTGATGTGTATTTTATTTATGCATGTTCTTGTTTTTGTACATAAATAATAAGAGTTGCTTCACTACTAGTTTCTGGTGGCAAAGTCTGAAAAACAATTATTAGTTTGGTTTGGTGCAGACTCTAAGGCTGAAACTCTTAGCATTCAGACGAGTTACTACACTTGATAATTGTATATCAGCATCTGGTACCATTCAAAGTTGGTGATAAAGCTGAATTTTCCGTACTACAGAAAGCAAGCTGTATTGTCTTACCAGCTTGTCAGCTAATGTCTACAAGATTACAAGGCTCAAGAAAGGTTGACATGCTTTATGGACGTCAGCTCCCAACGACTCTATCACTACAAAACCTCTTGAAGACTCAAAGGTTAAACGTGTTACACGCTAGATTCAAAATCTGTTGTTTATCCATCTTCAATGTACGCCTCTTATACTATGGAGTAAAAATAAAGACACTTGATCAAGTCACTTCCTGAACGACTAATTCCTGAACGACAAATTTGAATCTTAACAAGGATTATTCTAATGCAGTAACAAGATCAATCAATTATCAACTATAATGTAATATGCAGATTTTCTGTTTTAGGTTGTAATTGTAAAAACCTTAAGATTTCTTACCTCTGTATATATTAGAAATCTTAAGTGCTTTAGGTCTTTTTTACGGTGGTTTTCCGTACCTCTGATACTTGTATCATGTATATAACACCCCAATTTAAGTATTTCTTTATTTATTTATATTATACTAATTAATTAATTGAGTAATTTTGTGCATAATTGAATTATTTGATTAAATTGATTTATTTTATTTGGTGGAATAATATGTGGAAATAGTAGAATTAAGTAATTGGACCTAGATTGAGAGTGTGAATAATAAGTGGGAGAGTGGGTTAAGTAAGCCCATTAGAATAATGAGAAATTGCGGGGTTTGATAAAATAAGAGAAAGAGATAAAATAGGGTTAGAAAGATAGAAAAGAAGAAAAGAGGTAAAGAGAGAAGTGGAGAAGAGGAGGAGAAAACCCCAAGAGCTCTAGAATTCAAGGAATCAAGGTAAGTGTGGGTCTTTACATGGTTATGGGATTGTATGATAGTGTATAATGGGTAGTATCATATTTAGGATCAAAATCCCTAATTTCAATGGTTTTAAAATTGATGATTACATGATGTATGATGGTAGGATTCTTAAATATGTGTTTTAGGCTGTTATATTTGTCATATAATGGTAGTATTTCGAATTCTAGAATTTGAATTTTTTACGGAATCGAATTCGGAGGTCCGAAAGGCCTCCAAACTGCAAAAATCGCATTTTTCCGGGTTGTTATCCTGGAGAGTTCGCATAGCGAACATCGCGTAGCAAGCCAGTAGCGAAAGTCACGACGCGAGCAGTAGCGAACCTGTAGCGAGTGATGACAGAATGAACGTAACTTTTGATCCATAAGTCCGTTTTGATCCCCGTTCGAAGCGTTGGAAAGCTAATGAACATGGCTATAAAATAATATAGATAACATAATTGTTTGCCCAATATTTTTGATCTCAACTGATCATAAAGGAATCAGTATCTTGCCACGCGTCGTGAGCTGCTGCCTTCACCCGTGTATTAGAGGAGGAGGGGGTGTACCTGCAAGGTGCTCCGATGCTTAAGTGAGTAACAGAGTTAGAGAGAGATGGAGTACATAGAAAATGTGTAGTGAACAAGATACCTGACCCTCTAGTGAAAGAGGGTTTTTATAATGTGCCCCCAGCGCAGAGCCAACAGTTACATTGCATTCGGTTGGATTGCCAAGCCCAACACAAGTAACTGCCAAGACTTACGTGGCGTAGTGAAGATCATTACATGGTATTCTCTCTGGATCAAATGCTCTGTGATCTTCAGAAGACGGGCTAACCATCTCTTTCGGAAATGGGTAGTTGCTTGATGACGTGTCTCCACATGGAGAACTTGGGGAAGCGCGTGGGCTTCCCCGTTAAGAGAGTCTTCTTCCCGACAGAGGGGAATTGGGCCTTGTTGGGCCTCATTAGCATATCATTGGGTTTGGTCTGCCTAACTGAGGGGCAGGTCTCGGTCCAGTCCAGAACAGGAGCCCTCTAAGTCGTTGCTCCTAGGTGGATGAGTAATGACTTAAGGGCAGGTCGAGGTGTCGAGGATCTCTTCGGAAGATGTCCTTTTGCCTGACGTATAGAATTGAGATTCATACACAAGGCCAAGAGTGGAAGACGCTCGACGAGACAACATGTCGGGGGGATGCGAAGCGAGCGGACATGCTCGATCTCAATGTCGAGGGGAAGACAAATGGGTGCGAAGCTTCTGGTGGTGCCATGTGTTAGGAAATTATTGCCTAGCTAGGGCGGCTAGGGGTAGGGGAGTTTGAGTGCCTAGGGGCGCCTCGAGTCCCGTGCTAGGCTTATAAATAAGACTGAGTCTGCTTCAGTCTTACTTTTTCCCTTCTTCCATTCAAAACGCTTCCTATTCTTCTCTATCTTCTGCACTGAGACGTTCACCGTCCACCGTCGTATCATCTTCCCAAAATCTCCGTACTAAGTAAGTCACCACTATTTTACTTTCATTTTCCTATTTTCTGACAGTTTCTCCGGTGG